TTTCGTTTGGGCTTGTATTATATTTTCCTTCGGGTTTATATGATCCGTTCATCCTATTTCGACTCTTTCCTAAATTGAGGTAAATTATATGGCCTTCCAAATACCGTTTCGATCCCTAACATCACTGAAGAGACATTAATTGTCGAAATCCGGATAAGGTGTACAAATTTTTGCACCTCATGTTTGTGGTATACCATCTTTTCCACAAGTTTGTTGTTTTCTGTTTGGTATTAAATTAATATTAAGATCCATTTTGTTAGATCTGGTGATCAATTTATTTGGCAATCGCCAATGGCAGTCAGCAGGGTTTAAGAACATCAGTTGTTCGACCTGTTAGTCAAATGCGTTTTGTTAAAATAGACTTTTTCACTTTTTTTGGTCTTTTAGAAATTGTTGTTGGTGCTGTATTTAGACCCCTCTACCAAGAAATTTGTTTTACATGCACACGTATAAAAGTTGCGGTTTTTATCCAACGCAATCATAGGTTTGAACGTTGTTTTCAATTTAGACTTTTATATATTGGTATATATATATATATATATTGGTAATAGGAAGGTTATCAATATCTATAATGTATTTGTTCTAAAAAAATTTTAAATTTCAACTAAAACTGAGTGCACACTTTATAGATAGTTAAGGTCAATTTTCCTAAAATGTTTTCACTCACACGGTAAAATCTGAAGGTTTTAAGAACTAACAGTAAATGAATATTACAGAGAATACATAATATTCTGCATTATATGAATCCGCAGTTTCTGTTTGTTACCTTCATTTGTTTTTTTTTATCCGATTTACAATATCTGAACATAGAACATAAACAAAGACAAATAACAGAGTAAAAACTTTGTTAAGATATTCTGACTTCATACTGGTACAAAATAAGGTGTTGTTAAACAGATTCACGTTGCCACAAACCTCATATTTTGCCCATCTAGACCATATGTCTTAAAAGTCAAACACTATAAAAACCTGCATATCACAGCTAGAAAAAGTTTTTATGTAGTTGTTATATAATACATTATATTAAATCTTAGTGTACATGTTTATTCAGAGAGTTTCTGAGTTTATGTCCATATAAACATATTTTCATAGATCTTTAGGCGTTTATCAACATTGTTCATTGTCATATTTTTTGAATTTATCAGTCTTTTCTTAATTGCACCATGCAAAATACTTTGAATTGTATTCCTCGATGTTATTTTGATAAGCCTCTCAATTGGTTTAAGACAATATTTCGATCGCTTTAGAAAAAATGATTTAACCGCATAATCTTGAATGATTTCTACATAACCGGATACGATAAGACCACATGGGTGATAGATCATATACGATGATTAAAGTATCATATATTTGAATATTTATCATCAATATTTATATACGTCTGAGGTTAAAGACGAATAATTGAAGACAAGACCAGTGTTTAATTGTACCTAACGGTACGAAATAACCAGTAGTTTTAAACTATAAAAATACAGTGGTATCGAATTTCGAACCTGTCGTCTGAAAATACAAGAAACTTTGATCAAATCAACACATTTATTAATACATTGAACTTAATAAAAATGATAAGTACGATCGATTTATGGAAATGATCACGAAAGGTAAACACTAATTAAGAAAAAATTTCCGTTGATATATTGAGACATTATCAAGAAACGAAGACTCATTTTCCTGAAGAAAAGTTAACCTTATATGGATTTGCTACTCTTTTTATGTTAGCTTTACACACTCGGCTTTAGAACTTTGGGATTTGAGTGTTTGAGGTAAATCCATGTTAAAGATTTGGACGTGATAATTGTTTATGGATTATTTCAAGATACCATGCTTTATTCATCTACATTTTATTTGACTAGAGCTAGTTATGAAATAGAACTTAGAGAAGAAACCGTGTTGATAGTTTTTCTTAAATTTAGTCTGCAGGTCGTTTAAGCTGATTTCTAATCGACATTGATTACGTGCTTTTGGTTGTGTTTTGAACGCATGAACTTTTTTATATTTAGACATTGTCTGAATTTGTTACTTTGTAAATTTTTCAAGATATGTTTAAAAAAAATTGAAGGGAAAGGAAATCCTACATTTTTTTTTTAAATTGACTTTGAACAGGAGTTCATTATAAAGTATACTCGTATGACAACTTCCCATCCATTTTCGTGTGTTTGAACACTTAACATCGTCTTTCCTAAATGACGTTACTGGTATCCCGTGTATGGAGTGTGTCACGCTACTAGCATAACAAATATCACCTTCAAAAGTTGTCTTATTTCAAGCCGCTACTGAAAGGCTGATGCGAATTATTCCGACCGAACCTAAATTATATATATTTTTTTTTGTGGCAGTCAAAATTTCTCTTCCATTGCCTTCAGTCAATCAGTTGAACACTTAACAATGTATAATTCTAGTTTGAGCATTACTTATGAAGTTAAATACAGAAAAGCGCTTCGGAAGTAATTTACAAAAATAATTTTTATTTGGAAGCATTTGCTTGTTTGTATAACGATTACAGTTCTAACTGATTATTAAGCTACTTAAACTTATAGAACACAAAAGTTGGAAAAGAAACTTTTGAAGAACGGCGTTCATGCGCAAGTTTTTAAATTTTGTAAATAAAATGTCATTGAGAAAGATTATGAAAAAATGTCAAGTCGTCCTTGGCAAAAAAGTATCAAATATTTCATTTCATGGGTTATATCAATTTATTTATCATTTTATATGAATTCGTAATATCCAGCCATGAGTACAAATTTAACTGATGAATGTTTGGTGAAACAGACAAAGCTTTTATGTACAAAAGGTGATGGGAACAACAGCTGTACGAAAACAGTTTGCAGAAAATTATTTTCGCTTTCCATAGGTAAGTTAACATTTTGATGTGAGCAAATAAAGTTAAATTGGTACCAAATGTTCTATACTTGATGTGGAAGAAAAACCATGTGAGTTTTTTACAAAAATATTTCATTTGTAGTTCTTAAGTCAATGATGCTTTGTTTTTGGACATATGTTAAATATTACATTCCATATATAAACACTGCATATTCGTTTCTACTGGTAGTCATTGTACCAACACTATTCAGTAACACAATACACCTTATGTAAACTTTGACAGCAGCCATTGACTTTAGACAATTTTAGTCATTTTTTATATTCTTATAAAATTAAGAAGATATGGTACAATAGCCAATGAGACAACTCTCCACCGATACAAAATGACATAGAAGTTAACAATTATAGGTCATTTTCTTTGTATATTTCTTCAGTACCCACACTTTGCTTTAGATATGAAATGTATTATAGAAACATGAAATGTACTCACTGATACTAAATCGCAAGTTTCCCAAAAGTGGTTAAAGATTGTCAAAGTCTACAAACAGACAAGTAAACGACTTATATTATAACCTTGCCTGGGATATAATAAAGATGTTCTTGTTTTGGAACCTCTATAGCGCATTATTGAATAAAAGATAAGATTAAGACGTATTACATTTTTCATCATATGCGTTTATTCTAAAATGGGAAACACTTGACAGCAGGAAGCGGAAAGGGGACAAGGGTGGCAACTGACAAGCTTTTTTTGGCAAAACTTTTAAAATTAAGAATCCCTACGCCACAGAATAGAAAACAATATGTTCCTTTCTATATTCGTATTCGTCCCGGTTAAAGATCTTTTAGAGAAGAAAACCCCTGAACATGTTGTTTGTAACTTCGCATTTTTAATGTTTTAAAAAAGATTTGCTTATTTCTATTGTAGAACGTTTACACAATCAGCATGATCAGAAAGCAAAGGAAACTGGTAAAACAGGTGACAAAGTACCAACAAAGAAAACAAGTATCGTCAATGATTGCAAGTTCCTTATGCTTGCAAGTTTTGGGGATTTCCACTTTATTCGTGACGTCATGCAAAAGTATTTATTATCGGCAACGTGCTACTTTAAAAAACTTAACCGAATATTTTTCATTGCATTTTCACTAATATCGGCTTGTAAAAGAGAAGTTGTGTATGTTCTAACATATTATTTGTTTAAACGTCTATTTCCACTGCTACTGTTTTATTCCTCTCCTAGAATTTCGTTGAATTCTTTGGAAAATCCTTTCAGCAATGTTATTGAGATCTCAACAATAAGTCATCATCTATTTTTAGGTTATGTAGCCTCTTATTCCTTTTTTTAAGGCCACGAGTATTATTTTTTAAAGTCTGTATGTGAGCGGATTTTTTAAGATCAGAAAATGATTTGATATATTTTGATGAAAACAAAACCTGACGGATATTGGCTCGTAAAAGTAATTTAATCCTATGCCATTGAATGCAAATTGAATGAAAAAATATTTTGATGCATTATTGACATTGTGACATCATTATAGTTATCTTAAACGTGTTTAAAATGTTTAATTCTGGACTTTTCAATTGACCATTGAAAGTCACGTAAAAATTAGAATAATCTTTGTAGGGAGAATAAAAAGTATGTCTCAATTTCTCTTTTTTTCGAGATATTCATTTGTTGTTTGATCTCAAATTTATTCTGTAATGTTCAAATACATAATACAATAGGCCTGACCTATATATTGTTGCACATGCGCAAAAACCACCGTCAAAGACAAAGGTCACGAACTTACAAGCTTGTCTACTTATTTTACAGGAATCGGGTCACAATACGAAACATAGAAAGATTGACCATGTTTTTGAAGCTATTCATCAATTAAATGTATCAGACTGTTTGCAAATAAGTAAAAAATATTTACATCCACAGTGGATAATATTTGCTCCAAGGTTGTGATTTTATTCTTCTGTTTCGATTTAGGTTAACGAACTTCCAATCATCGAGGATAATAATATTGGAAAAATGAGTCAAGACTTTTCAACTGATTTATACATTAATGCATTAATAATACATAATTACACAACTGACTAGGTTAGTGTTAGGGTTGACCAGAGTTCTCACAAATATATTGTACCCCTTTCTTTATTTGCTTGTCCAGAGTCATGAGCCTGAATTTTAGAGTTTTTTTTTTATTGTCGTCTGGTATACTTGTATTTACTAAATATTTGATTAGCAAAAAATTTAAAGTATGAAGTGGTCAGTTTTCTCTTTTCAATTATTTGACACTTTGTTATCCCGCGGCCTCTAAGTATTCACTTTGTTAAAGGCAGTACAGTGACATACATGTAAAGTTGTTTGATTGAAGAGAAGTTAATCTACTTATGTAGATAGAGTCATGTGCTATAAAAGCAGAGATTTTGGTTTTAACAAGGATTACAGTATGTGAATAATTTCCCTTTATTTACGAATATTTTGTATAAGCGTTCCTGGTGAAGGTAAATCCAGAAAAGCGATTTGGACGCATACAATTGATAGTGTTATTTTCATTTTGTAACAAAGAATCAAACATATGTTATTCTAGTACAGAGTGTCATTTTCGCAGGGGTATTGTAATTTAAAATTCACCGGCCATAGCAGAGGATTGTTTACTATAACAATAGAATTTCCCGATAGGAACACACTTATTCTGTAGGGTACAATTACTTTTAAATTCCCGTTATATGGTTCTATTGATTGAAAGAATGGTCCATTGGGTACCATATTTATACAACAATATCAGCTGGTCGGGAATACGCAATAAATCTCTACTCTTTTTTTTAGATTTACAAAACTGCGATGATGCTACAGGCAGCTATACAAACGATGTAAACAAAAGTGGGAATGGAAAAGAAAATGGAAGAAGGAATGACAAAAAAGACGACGACGAGAAAAACGGAAGAAAACGTAATATAAATAGATTGAGTGCATATTAATAAAGGAGTTTATACTTATAAAAGGTAGACGTCCATGAAATATCAAACAAAACCTAAATAAATTTTGTCAGAAAAGACGACTTGAATTAAACATACGGTCTTCCAAAAAAAAAGTCGCCATGCAGAGCTTTAAATCGCGGAAAGACAAGACAACTTTTGCATACTGCAAAAGATTTGCAATCGTCAAAACAAAATTCTTTGTTTGAGAAAAATCTTGAATATACAAACAAAAAACAACAAAAAACAAACAAAACAAAAGACAACCATGTAATGAGGTTCTGATTTAGGACAGACATATTATAAGTTATCAACGTTTATATCCGTAGATATGGGTATATTACCGAAGGATGCACCGGGTACTGACGGGCGTTTAAATACTCAGGACTACAGATATGAACTTAAATAACGAATTTATCCCTGGTCTTAATCCGAATCGAGCGATTTGTATGGAAATTTGGTCATAAGATGTAACGTGAAAGCTTTTTATTTCATTATTTAAAGAAGTTTTAGTGAAATTTGGATTTTTTTACGGGGTGTACTAGTGGAACTAACTACCTTTGGTAGAAATCAACAGGTATTCAAATATAAGACATGTTTTATCCAGAAGCAGTGAAACTAAAATAAATCAAATTTGACGCTCAACGTCGCTAGCATTAGACGGCGTGACGTCAATGTTGTTTATTTGCATATCTAGGTCAGTAGTCCTGTTCATTGACGACGTGGTAGCCAAATAATGCATTTGTTAAAATGAATGCCAATAATCGGTAGTAGATTACATATATAATTACAGACATCATGAATAGTCTACTGAATTCAATTTTTTCTTGGGAACAATCACGTAACTAAGGAAAACGCGATTGGTGATCCCCGGGGTTAATGGTTTACGGTAATGGGTATATGGAGTTTTTAATGATATTTCATTAGCGAATCTAAATCCGAGAAATATACAAGGCCGGGGATAAAGACATATGGCGGGAATACAGTCCAGTTTGGCGGATCTTCCTACCTTTTTATCTCGAACGTTTAAGTTAAATAAAAGCTACAGTGAACAGAGCATAATAAAATAAAAAGATATAATTCTATAATCTATATTGAAGATAAAAACACTAACGAAAAATTTTTAAATGATATCGTATCAGACTATTTTCATAGTTACCAAAAGCAAGATCAAAGTTCTAAAACTGCCCTTAAAAAGCGCCTTCTTTACTCTGTTTTACTGACCTCTGAAATGATATCAAAGGTTTCTTCATGAATAGAGATGAAACCACAACAATCTTGTAACAATACCCAATTTTGTTATATTGCTGATTTAATACCAGCTGCGATGGTTTTTCAACAAGTGTATAATGATATATCCTGTATCAATAGGTTTATTTAACAACTCTTATTTTGCTTGTTTCCATTATGACAATCCTGACACCCCGAGGTGTGTTATACGACAACGAATACCTTAAAATATGTATTATCTGACTTATATTCCGTCAAAACATATTATTTTCTGTAAAGATTTGAAGGATTTGCATCCTATTTTACCGACCACACTAAAGTGGGATATTCCTTTTGTTGCGTTCAGGTTTTAATATGTCCCACGGCTCATTTATAATGTGAAAAACAATTCACTATTTAATCTAGATATAAACTTTACAAATCACTATCAAGTTACAATAAAAATTTTAGTGTACTTGCATAAAGCAAGACACAAATGATTTGTTAAGGTTTATGAAAAAAGCATGTCACTTTTTAAGTTATTTATTGTATGAACTTACTTTATGAATGGGGATGCTAAATATTTTTCTTTTGATAATGACATTTTTATCGCGATAAAGCAGATATATTTTTTTTCAACAATTTAATCGAACTATACAAAATATTTTTTTCTTTAATTCTTCTGGCATACAGTTTTTTTAAAAAAAATTTTAAACTGAGAATCAGGATTACATATTATGCTTCCACCCACCAACCCATTTATGGAGTACGTGACTGTTCTTTCAAAGGGAATAAGAACATTTGTTCATTTGATAATATGATAGATGTGAAAAGTTAAAAACTGACACGAAAAGAGCACAAACTCTCGATACATGTACATGTAACCCGAAATATCCATCATGGTAGGTCAAAGTATATTATCGATACAGTATGAATCAACGAGATTGTCAAAATCCTACACACGAATGTGTTAAATCTGGCTTGTTTGAAAAGTGTTGCATTACTAAATCATCTCTAAGTATGTCCCTTTATCGTAGCAATAAATCAAAAGAAATAAATTACATCATGTGTTTGCAAATTAAAATACGCGTCTATGATGAATTTGGGATTTCAGTCTAATAAACTGAAGAAAACAGGAAATGTAATAACTGGAAATTAAAAAAAAAATAGTTTGCATTTTAATCAGAGAAAATAAAATGACCTTACCCAGGTCATTATTTTATGCCCTGAATCAAATTTCATTGAAACTTGGTATCGCCCGGTTGGTTTTTCAAAAGAAAGCCTTAACGTTCTAGAAAGGTTTATCAGCATTGGATATAATGATCTTAGTTGATCTGATTGATCTGCCATGGCGAGGGTTTTATTTTTTTTTCTTTGATTTTCAGTTTAATTAACTGTTGGACGACTGAAACTCTTGGATAATCCAATATCAGTGGTATTGCATCAACGTTGAACAGATAAATGAATGGAAATGTCCGAAATTGAGAAATATAAAGGTTCCACATTTTGGATTATATTGTTCCTACTGGTACTGAATTTTTCTGTCATACCGTTGATTTCATTTTGTTTTCTGCGATTTACAGTTTAAGTAATAAATCTATATCATACGTATGAAATTATCAAATTTTGTTTTCTTCAAAGGAATATAACATGCACACATACATATTGACATACATAAATTTATGAAATTTGTGAAAGGTGTACATCTTTTTTCAGAAATATTCAAACTTAGAGAGATAATTGGAATAACAGGCACACTCATAGTACTGTTTCTATTGATACAGATTAGTATTTTCGTATGCAGACGAAGGTAAATTAATTTCCGTTTGTAACACCACATTATAATATACCAATGAAAAATCAGCTTTTGTATATAGTGTTTTGTAGGCTGTTGCGAATGTTTGCCTTTTCGTAGATTATCGTTTTTATTCAATAGTTTTGTCAGTCTCTCTTAAAAATTTTGTGTTTTGGTTGCTTTCTTCCGTCTCTCCTTTATATGTTTGTACCCTTGAACACTCGTTGTTGAGGTAAGACTGCACAAATAAAAAGCTGTTTGTCGAGTGAGCAAAACATACTGATTTTAAAAATCACATATTATTGAATATTTATATATTTTCTGTTTTTAATTAGTGATATTAATCTTCAAACATTGTCTCGCTTTCAAATATATAGATGTAAGAATTTTTTTTCAAATGTAGACGATATATTTATGAGAATATCAACCAGAACTATATATTACAAAATCACAGATACATGCTTCTTCCGCCTCAATTTTAAAAATAAACCTCGAATTTGAATACAGCGGTCATCTCAATACCAGAATCTATGACAAACGAGACGATTTTAATTTTTAAATTATAACATTTTCTCACATTAGCAGCAATATTTCTAGTTCACCCTTGTATGGAGTACACATTTCTCAACTCGATATTCAAGAGCATGAAGATGGTACTCAGACTAAGTTAATCGTCATCGGTGTCTGGGCAAAATATTAATGAGCCAGGATTTTGTCAAAGAATATCTCGTCCTTTTCTCAAAAACCTCATCGGAAAGTCACAAGGATTTTAACTAGCTGTCAGTAACTGCGAGTACTCTCAGATATGTACTTAGTGTCTTTTTGTTGTTTGGATGTACAAGTACCAGGCCACATCCACTTGTATTTGAAGTATTTGTATTTTTATCCATCTGATGAGTTAAGCCTCTTTCAACCAATTTTTATAGTTCGTTCTTATGATGTACTGTTACACCACTGTCCCAGGTTAGGGGGAGGGTTGGGATCCCGCTAACATGTTTAACCCCGCCTCATTCCATTCTGTATGTATGTGCCTGTCCCAAGTCAGGAGCCTGTAATTCAGTGGTTGTCGTTTGTTTATGTGCTACATATTTGTTATTCGTTCATTTTTTGTACATAAAAGAGGGACGAAAGATACCAGAGGGACGAAAGATACCAGAGGGACAGTCAAACTTATAGATCGAAAACAAAATGACAACGCCATGGCCAAAATAAAAAGACAAACAGACAAATAATACTACAGATGACACAACATAGAAAACCAAAGACTAAGCAACACGAACCCCACCAAAAACTGGGGGTGATCTCAGGTGCTCCGGAAGGGTAAGCAGATCCTGCTCCACATGTGGCACCCGTCGTGTTGCTTATGTTATTACAAATCCGGTAATTTGGTAAGTCGCATTCGTGAAAAGGGAAGGGTATTGTAGTTACGACATAAGGAACATATCCGATATCATCTGTGAAACGGTGATTCCATAACGGTCAACCAACTCGTGATGGCGTCCGTAAAATAGGCCGTTAGTTTTCTCGTTTGAATTGTTTTATATTGTCATTTCGGGGCCTTTTATAGCTGACTGTGCGGTATGGGCTTTGCTCATTGTTGAAGGCCGTACTGTGACCTATAGTTGTTAATTTCTGTGTCATATGGTCTCTTGTGGAGAGTTGTCTCATTGGCAATCATAACACATCTTCTTTTTTATATATATAAGCAATATAGGTAAATATTCAGTGTCTTCTCAATAAATAATAAAGGGGTCTTCAGATAAAGGTTCTCAGTACTACAGGTGTGCATCATATTATCTATTTTGCATTTTCTACTTCATTTGTCTTTGTACTATTATATAAAAATATAAAAAATATGTTCTTTTAAATCTCTAGACGGGGCTCGGTATTACTGTATTCAGCTTTCAGGTTTTTGGCTTTAGGTGTTTAGAATGCTAGTGGGTCCAGATGTAAGATTTTGACGTTTTAGGTTTTTATAGTGTTGTTTTCATTTTGTATACCCTTGTATATTTTTTGCTTAATTTGTACTTTGATTTAGGAAAGTGTATTTGTCATTATATTTTACTATATTGTTTATTGTATGTACTATCAACTCCAAAAACTTGTTTTTCGTCTTTGTCTGATATTTGAATATGTGTTTGAATATTAAGTCAGTTAACGTTGTGTTGTTGGTAAATGGATTCCAACTATTGTCACATTAACTAATTATCATAGTTGGATACCGGTCAAAGTTAAAACAGTTAATACATTTTTAACAAGTTTTTCTAATTTCCATTTATTGCATATATGTTTAACAGACCAAAGGAAAAGACCAGACAAGTTATGAAACCCAATTAGGAAATGACAATATATATTTTCTCGTTTGAATTGTTTTACATCTCTAATTGTCTCCGCATACCACATCACCTTATTTTATTTTCGTATTGTGTTGATTAGATATTCTCCAATATCAATATGATGAAAAACTGATAATTGATTTATCGAATTTTTCATGATAGAGTCAATTGTTTGTTTGTTTGTTGTTGTTAGCAAGACGAAAGAAAACTTCAGGCAAATATTATGAAACGGTGATAAGTCCGGGTCAAATTAATTGAGGTCGGATCATGCTTATTTCTTGTTTAAAATTCATATTATTTAAACTTAAGGATTGAGCAGAGTGATAGAGTGTGAGGGAATACCATTTGATACTATTTCGCGTTGAACTCTAAGACTAAATGGCAATAGGAAGATTTTGAATGTAGATACAAGTGTGTAAATCAAGAACAAAAGTGGACCTATTCAAGTATGCATGCCAATACATTTACTATTGAGAACTTCAATCAATTATTATGAAAAATTCATAAGTCGGGGACAAATCGGATCATACTTGGTTTTGAAATCAAAACCGTATCATTAAATCTTAAGAACTGAGCAGAGTTATACAATGTTAAACTTTTTCCCGATGAATTGCAAGGATAAGTGGAAAAAGAAATTTTTAAATGTAGTTATAAGTTTAAACAAGTAAACAAATCGACAAAATCAAGTACTAATGCCGTTATATTCATTATTGGGTGGATGGTAAAGACCAATATCAGTGGTATAACATCAAATATGTCGATGTTCATGTCAGAATGTAATTAAAATGTTAAATTTAGCTTTTTAAGTCACAATTTACCGACAAGTACTGATTTTCCCCCGTTTTTGTAGAAGTCGTTTTGTATTCCTGTCACGTAGTGTTGTCATTTAAGCGATATTTTTTAACATTGCCGTACAAGCGAGAGGTTATGCAAGCCATAAAACCAGATTTAACCAGATTTAACCCAATATTTTTTTTTAAATGTCCTGCACCAGGTCAGGAATATGGCAGTTGTTATCAAATAGTCCGTTTCTGTGTATTTTGGCGTTTGTTTTTGTTGCACTTCAGTGTTTCTGTTGTTTACTTTTTATAAATTATTCTAAATAATAAGGATGTTCTTGTCCCAGGCAGAAAATCCTGTCCGTGTTAGGCGCAACTTTTTGGAAGTTTTGGTCCTCGGTGCTCTTCAGCTTTGTACTTGTTTTGGCTTTCGAGCTTTTTTTATCTGGGCGTCTCTGGTTGGTCTTGTGTGGACGAGACGCACGTCTGGCGTATTGAATTTTAAGCCTAGTACCTTCTGCTAGCTATTATTCGTGTGTTTCTTTGTCCTATATGTTCTCCCATTTATTTGTATTGTGGTCCTGTCATGTGATGTTGTCGTTTTGGTGTTGTATTTGACGTTGCCATAAAAGCGGGAGGTTTGGCATGCCACAAAACCAGGTTCAACCCACCATTTTTTTCTTAAAATGTCCTGTACCAAGTCAGGAAAATGGCCATTGTTATATTATAGTTCGTTTCTGTGTGTGTTACATTTTAATGTTGTGTTTTTGTTGTGTCGTAGTTCTCCTCTTATATTTGATGCGTTTCCCTCAGTTTTAGTTTGTAACCCGGATTTGTTTTTATCTCTATCGATTTATGAGTTTCGAACAGCGGTATACTACTGTTGCCTTTATTTACTTCTAATAATTGATGTGTTTCCCTCGGTTTTAGTTTGTGACCCGAATTTGTATTCTCTCAATCGATTTATGACTTCTGAACAGCGGAAAACTACTGTTGCCTTTATTTGCTTTGATCTTTACGGTTAAATTGGTAAGTTTACATCATACCATGTAAGTATTATTGTCGATAGATTTTAGTAATTCCATGATCATACGTTTAATTTGTTTTTAGTATTATATTCTTTGAAACTTCATTTGACTGACATTATATGTAGTTTATGACTAGTGCCAATCTTTTAAATCATTATTGAAAGTTGGAGCGATAGTTGATATCTCATCTGGAATAACAAGCACATTCATACTATATCTGATCATACTGGTTATTATTTTTATATGCAGACGAGAGTTAACTTATTTTCGTTTGTTACAGGACAATTTATAAATACCCGTGAAAAATCAGTTTTATAAAAGAAAGATGGAAGATACAAAATCAAATTATCAATAGAAAACGATCTGACAATGCCATTGTAAAACACGACAACGAACAAAAGACAAACAACAGTCTATAAAACAAGACACAGAAAACCAACGACTGAGCAACATGAACCCCACCAAAAACTGAGGAAATCTCGGATACTCCAAAAGATTAAGTAAATCCTGCATTATAGCGTGCACCTGCGTGTTTACTGTTTAGTCTATTTTGGTGATATCCATTTGACGTGTTTCTGTACTTATATATCCCGTCATTGATTTATTGTGCTATGGTAAAGTTTTGTATTCTTGTCTTTCATTTTTGCTAATTTGCTTTGTCTATATGCCTTTTTGTGTTTCTTTGTTACATATTTGTTTGTTTTTATAGTGATTGAGATTATAACGCAATGTTGACTGCTGTACCCCTATATTTGACATTTTTACCTATTATGTCTGTTTGTTGCATTCACACATCGTTGTCAATATAATTTTCATAAAAGTGAGAAGTTTAGCTAGCTATAAAACAAGATTTTAATACACCATTTTCTACATAAGAAATATGACAGTTGTTATTCATTCGTTTGATGTGTTTGAACTTTTGATGTTGCCATTTGATTACGGACTTTACGTTTTGGATTTTCATAGGAGTTCGGCATTTTTGTTATTTTACTTTTTGCTAATGTGCAAATTTGGTGATAACTCTTATTAGATAGATCTCTCTCTACGAAAAAAGGACAGGAGTATGGTTGCGACAAATGAAGAATATCGTCGCCCCTCGTCATCTGTGAAACACATATCCCATAACGGTCAACCAACTCGTGATAGCGTCCATAACACGTTCGAAGGGGGAACTTCAATTTAATCGCTTTATTAAGGAAAACATAATTGGAAATTCAAGCTGTAGGATATCGTATAAACTGGGAGATATATTATCCACAAGCAGGCCCTGCCGGAGTGTTTCTACATATAAATGAAAAGTTTACAGTTGTAAGCTGAAATCGGAGGACTTCAAATTGATAACTTAAAACTTTTGGTTCAATAGCTTCCTCGTAAGTAGCAACCCTCTTTCAAGAAAATCGTGATGAGAAAAACAAGCTCTAAAATATTGTATTAACTGGGAGATATATAATCAAAAAGCACGCGCTGTATGTTTCTACATAGAAATGAAAAGTTCACAACTGGAAAGCTGAACACCTCTCTTTCGTGGTAAAGTTTTGTACTCAACCAATCCTCCCCTATCAATTTCTAGATGAATCATTATGAGGCAGACGTAACTGTATCTGTTGTATTCTTTATTTCAAATACGATAGAAACTTTGAATTATTTAATTAGAGGACAGTCGAATCCCATGTGCCGTACTCTTGTACACTCGCTTTCAAAAGAAGACTTAATGATCATGAGTTATTTTTTCATAATTAATTGACAAACGATATTGTGAAATATCTGTTCAGATTCACAATATGACGCATTTAGTCGAGTAAGCGCAGCGAACTAGTTCAAATAGGCTTATTATGGTGTCAAGAAGCTCATATTTTGATACCAAATTTCGACGGAAAGATTTCGAATAAGGTTTCAAGGCATTTTCTTAACTAACATTCGTATGATTTGTAGTTATATCTATTTAAAACTATTAACAGTAAATATTTAAGCATGTTTTGGTTCCCAATTATCACATATATATTTTTTACAGATCAAATCAAAAGAACAAAAGACAACTGATAAGATTGCAATCTATTAACCAAAGAACTGACATGAGAAATCGTGGAAGTTTTCCCTATAGTTCGAACATAGGAGGACACAATATTCTTCTCGATCCCTCAGTTCCAATACATGGCAATACCGCAAACAGCCGGGTATTACCAGAGGTTACAAGGTTAAATGTTGCAGAGGGTGACGAGAATGTTTACCATTGTCAATGGTAAAACAGCACATCCCGGTATAGCACGACGATAGACAGGAGATGTAATGAGTGTGACCCTCTAGTGAAATTTGTCTCTTATTTCATCAACTTATATAAATGAAGGTTATATCAGGAATGAAACAATAGTTTTATCAAAATAAAAAAGCTACAATTAAAGTCACACTGTCATGCACGTGGGAGGTTTAGCTAGCTATAAAATCAGAATTAACCTACCCTTTTTGTTTTTCGGAAAATACCTGAACCAATCAGGAATATCACAATATTGTTTTCCATTTTTCCGTTGTTTGAACGTTTGATTTTGTCAGTTTTTATTTACTTACTTTTTTAAAAATTTTCCTTGTAGTTTCGTATGTTTATTGATACTGTTTTTTTTTATTGATTTCTATTGTATTTAATAATTTCACGGCATCCTCTGTCAAATCAATAGTAACATAGTATGACAACACGTCATTTTGAAACACTGCCAACATGATGTCCAACCCCATCACCCCTTCAACTACTAAACTAATAGTTATATTTCTAAAATTCTGAGATTGTGTACTAGGACCTTCAATTTGAATAGAAAAGTGTTTCTTTCCAGTAACATATGCCTGATTCTTTTTCAATCCCATATTTTTTCTCACCGGAATTCGGATTTTGAATCTCAGACATTTCAACGACACCTTGTAAAGGTTTCCATAAAGCACCGGGAAACGTTCTGATTTTAGGATTAACCAGTATAAAAAGTAAGGCGCCTTTAAATCAAGGACTATCTATAATAGGTAATTTCAATTATTACGTTAAGATTTGGTTTCGAAGTACAATATACTAAAATCCAGTTTGTCAGGTTCAAGAATCATGCTCTAACATTGATAGTTGAAAATAATGGAAACGTTTTCATATTTGTGTAGTCGATGGTAAAGCTTATTTAACCTGTATTGACATTTATGTTTATTTTTTTATGACAATCTGTTTTAAAGTTCATTTACCTGTATTGCAATTAATGTTTAAAGTTTAGACTGTCTTTAATTTCATATTGTACATAACTGAATTATGACATGTAGGCACAATGCAGAAATATCAGAATAATACAGAAAGTAACGATACATGTATATTAAAAATGTATTTGCTATTCAGATCATTTTTAACATTATGTTATATAAATTAATGGAATTAAGACACCGCCGCTTTAGAACACTGGCATGTGAACCACGTGAGTTACGATTAATGATAATTGATTATACTTAACTGCAGCTAAGCTTAGCGCATAGGGTACTATCAGTCAAACAACCTTTATTGTGTAATGTTCCATATGTCTGCCTATGCAATTTTCTTTTAAGATGTTTCTAAGATTGGCGAAAAATACGAAAGGGGTATTCAAACTCATAAGTCAAAAACTAACTGACAACGCACTGGCTTAAAATGAAAAAGAGCAACAGAAAAACAACAGTACACAGAACACAAAATAGAAAACTACAGACGAACCTCGAAAATGGAGGTGATCTCATGTGTTCCAGAAGGGGAGGATCCTGCCCGTACTACAACTTCCACTCAGTGACATCTTACCGTACAATAACTGCCATGCTTTAGAAATTACAAAATGGGGAGTTATTGATTTCTCTACAAGAGCTTCCCATTGAAAAAAAGACGCAAATTCTTTCGACTCAAACTCTGTTAAATCAGCGGTCAGCTGCCATTAAACATCAAAATAAAACATCACTTATTTTATATACATAATTATGAAACATGCATTATCTTATTTTTTTGCAATTTACGGAAATAAGCAATGATCACTTATCAGAATTACATACTATATCAATTATCCTAAAACAAGAATCCGGAAACCACAGCAAACCCGGATAAATCCTCAAAATGAAACTTGACATAAGTAATCCATTTTGTCCAATATTGAAATTTGAGATGATGTTTTCAAACGGTTAATCTATTAAGCAGATATAGTTTGTGCCGACCGGTACCTAATCCGTCTGTCCGTTGTGCTAAATAGAATTCATTACCGTATTCTAGTTATGAAACTCCTCAAAATTGGAATTTCATCATGGCGATAAGGAGTTTTATCCTTAAACAGTGCAAGGATATTTTCAATGAATTTGTAACACACAGTCACAGGATTAAATCCCGAAAATTGCTGAAATCTAGTGATATTTTGCTACAGATATTTAGCAATAATTCCAAAAAAGTCCATATCACATAACAATGATTAAATCAAAGAAGAATGTATCTGAGGACGCGAATGCACCCGCTCAAGCTTTGGAATTTTCCAAGTTAAAAAAAGAGCATAACTTTAGAACGGTAAATGACTCACAACACAAATTCGAAATCTGTCTTCGTGTTGTGGTTCTGGGGATTGTGTAGGAGTTTCACAAAATTTGGACGATACAAACTTAAGACAGAGTGCGGAAACTAAAAAGTTAGCAATTTACAAGTCATAAAGGGGCTTAACTCTAGAACTGTACGTGATTCACTGCCCAAATTCAAACTCTGTATGCAAGTTTTGATTGTTAGCACTGTGTATGAGTTTCATGAAATCCGGATTAGAAAAACTTAGGTTTTAAGCGCGGAAATGAAAAAAAAAAAACAAATGCGATTTTCCAAGTTATAACGGGGCATTACTCTAGAACGGTAAATGCCTCATTGCCACAATCTAAAATTTTTCTGTGAGTTTTGGTTGTAAGCATTGTGAATGAGTTTCATAAAATTTGTTTGAGGCAAATTAAAGTAAGAGTGCGGAAACGAAAATGTGACGGACGAACGAAAGGCATATGACGGATAGACGGAAGAACATTAACGGTCAAGGTAAACTTGAAGGATTTAACCTGTCCAGTTAAATCCATTTGCCTCAATCTATCTTCGACAATAAATCCAACAACTGTCCATCGGCCATCATTTTCGTTGACTATTTTATCTACATAAATGCTCAGATCTTTCGGTAAAGGAATTTCCTAAACAGGAAAAGTTCATGAATATGTATATGACACAAAACATTTACAGTAGAAATTAGGAGTTGAAATTGATTGACAATCCAGGAGCGTAAAAATATTCTTTTTTTTTAAACTGATCAATCCTTTTATTCAAATTTCCTCTGTTATACAATATCCCTTGGAATGCCGGGAAATCAAACATAAGGAGCATTGCTTTATTACATTCTGCATTTAAACCAGAGGAACAAACGACATATTTCAATGATAACAAAATATTAAAAAATAACAAGTCAAATTATACTCTAATATTTCACTTTTTTCAAACACATTTGACATAGATACATTATCAATGTATTCAATTTAAATTCCTCGTGCTACGCTTAACAACTCAAGCGTAAGTCACAACATGTCATTTTCAAGAACCACGCCGTTCAATGGATGACTAGCCCCTGCACGTGTATCATGGTAAAAGGTGATTGTTTTTTCGAATCTTGATTATTTTAAAACTTAAGATGGATTATGTGGAAATATACAAGGGCAGAAAGAGTGCTAACTCTATACTACAGGACTATAGAAATTAATTTGCTGCTAGTGGTGAGTACTTATAGTAATATTATATAGACATATGTAATCGTAAGTGCAGTTAGTAGTATATACAGTATATATAATCACATAAATTCAGGTGTAATACCAGCGTTGATTTTCCCTATTAGTCTTTGTTAAAATTGCACTTTTCAAAAAATTGTGCAGAATTCATCTTTGTTTCAAATAAAGAAATAATATGGAAGTTAACCGATCAAATTTACACCCCTTTTTTCCTGTGTACAAGCTTTAGTAACCATGTAACCACAAGTTTCCAAAATATTCTATAGAAACACCAAATAAAAAATAATGGTGCTTTGAAACATTCATGATATATGTTTATGACCCAGAATTTTTTTTACTGCAATGAAATGAAGGATTAGTTACCAACAACTGTCAAATTCAAGGGAATATTTTTTTCGACCCTTTTTCGGATGCAACTGGATGTGACGTACTATGATTTGGTGGTATTACACATAAAGAAGACTTTTTTGTTGAATAAACTAAATGTGATTTTTTCCTTTGTTATACTGGTTATTTCAAGCATTACTGTCAAGTTTTGTCATAATCAGTTCAATAGTTTGAGAAAAATCTAGTATAATGTAAGACATCATATACAGCGATTCGAGCAAAATTTCTTCGAAAAATCAAAATCAAGCCGCATCATGAGGGAATATAGTGTGGTCCAATAAATGATCAACTATTTATCTCATCTGCCTATAAACATTGAATATGATACAAAAGATGTATTCAGGATGATAAATACCACTAATGGACCTCTTTGTCTTCATTATAAGGTCTCTTTTGGTCCATGTTTACCTCTCATTTCCGCAAAATTTCAAATTTTTAGGCCAACAAATAAATGTTTTTGGGTTACTTTCACTCATTTATGATAGAAATGTTATAATAAATGAGTTATTGAAGTATTAAAGCTGAATGAACTAACCAACAGTTTGCTGAAAACAGGGAGGTGTCAATAAGTCCTTACGTAAAACTTGAATTTACGCCGCGTTCCAGATAGGGACATAAAAAGCTTCCCTTTTAGTGAATAATTTGTTGTAACTGCTTCAAAAATAATTTCATTTACTTATAATTATATAGTTATTAAAGTATCACTTAGAAAAAAGTTTTCTATTATAGCAGAATATAAGAAATAAGGAGAAAAAGTCCCCTAAAAACACTGAGTATGGCTTGCTCTGTCTTCTTATATCCACTCAGAATATTTCATTTTTTGTAATATTTTACTTAAAAAACATGAAATTTTAACAATTGAGAGTACTCACAAGGTCAAAGATGCATGTGCAGCTTCCAATATTAGGTGGTATACCACCATTGATTTCCCCCTTTTAGTCTTTGTTAAATTTGAAAAAGATTGTGCATAATTTATCTTTGTTTCAAATAAAGAAATATTTGGCATGAGTTAAGTTTTATCCTGTCCAGTACTAAAGACAAAATTTCACATATCATTTCATTGCATATAAGAAAATAACCATCACTGGAAGTTAACCAATCAAATTTTCACCTCTTTTTTACCTGTGTACAAGCTTCAGTAAATATTCTATAGAAACACAAATAAAAAAAAATATTGGTGCTCTGAAACACCCAAGATATATATTTATGACCCAGAATTGTTTTACTGCAATGAAATGTAGGATTAATTTCCTATAATTGTCAAATTCAAGGGAAATTTTTTTTTCGACCCTTTTTCGTATGCAACCGGATGTGACGTACTATGATTTGGTGGTATTACACCTTAAGATCAGGTATGCGTTGAAATAATTCATCAACAATGGTTTAAAGCCAAATAATAAGTCATTAAAAAGCAAAAACGAAATTAAACAT